TTAAGCTCGATAAGTTTTTGTTTTGAGGTTTATTTCCAATTTATTTCATGTGTTTTTGTGCAGCGTCGCTCGACAGATGTTTGTATCGAGTCTTAAGTGTAATTTTTGCGTTTGTTTTGGTTTTACGTCTTCAGTTGAAGTTAGTAAAGAACTACCAGCCTTAGGTACGTTGGTTCGTTTAATCTATGTAGTTACAGTTGTTGTTTTAGTTGTTTTTCACTCATTATGCAACATCTCCGAAGAATTGAATTGGATGGTAATGAAAACTGTAGTTTGTGAATGCAACTGAGCTACTTCGCCTCAATATTGTATTTTTTTAAAGTTTAATTTTTTCTGGAAATAAATATACGGGTATGCTTTACAAATGGGAGCATTGCTCTTGTATTAGTTGATTTTCACTGATTATACATTATCTCCGAAGAATTGAACTTAATGGTAGCGAAAACTGAAATTTGTAATTGCAACTGAGGTATTTCACCTCAATATTGTATTTATGGATCAATTAAGCGATGAAGAACTATTCAGATGAAATAATTTATTATAAACAGAAATCTTAAGGTTTTTCCATTCGGAAACTATTCACTTTACAGAGCAAATTCATCGAGAAATGGGACAATTAAAATCGACGACTGATATCATACTGTTGTCATGAGAAAACACAAGTTCTATACCAATTTTTTTTTCTTTTTTTATTCAGTGTTTGGGGTGTAAATCATTCATTTCTGCAGGATACGGGTGTCCTTTTGAAGGAAATATTTTACAACTCATTAAAATGAAAACTCAAGGAACCAAAAGCCAATTTGAAAAGATGTTGTAGAGTATTTTAAAGGATTGCTATTTCGAGTATTTTTAGGTTTACCTTCTGTTTTGTTAAGTCTCGCCTTTTTTCCTCTACGTGTTATTTTGACAAAGTTATAGTTTCGATCTTTTGTTTTAGTGTGCGCTTGAACTTGGCTCGGTTCGTGGATTCCTTCTTACCGTGCTAGACATTTTAGTCGCTTGTTATGGTTGAGAATAATTAGTTTGGTAGGTGGTCATGTTTCGGTTGGTAAAACTGTAATGCTTCGTAATGGATGTCGATGTTGTCAGCTGTGATGAAGGGCAAACTTGTTTAATTTAACACCACTATAAGTTCTAGCGCTCTCAGGTGGTTTCGCCCGATTTCTAAAACTATTTTTCATTTTTTATTTGCAAATATTATTCGGAAATCCATAGGATCGACTTCTCCGGGTATACTTATGATATATATTGATAAATCTTTTGAAAAAAGCTTTCGTACTCACTTAGGAGAGTTGTTGATAACACGAGCATTCCCCATAACTGGCAGCTTCTAGTGATCATCATTTTGTGTTCCATTGTATGTGTTGAGCAACTGTCAACTGAACCAAAGAAAGCCTTTAGTCAAATTTGCTGTCGTTGAGGATCTTTCAAAATGTTCTTTCTCGGTATGAAAGGCTTGTGAGAATTATCTTTTCACAACTTTTCGAAAGATAAGTTGGAACCAGGTGCTTTCAGTGTAGGCATATGCGGCAAATTGACCATTATGCAAATCATTGACGTCAGATCTTTCCGCTAAAAATTTCCTCGCATTTCTCCTTTTACCACCCGTTTGAAGTTTGGGTAAAACATACGTGATAAAAATGAAATTATCATTCGGATAAAGTGTTCCATCAAAAATATTAAAACTCTCTCCATAGGGTTGCACACGACGTGTAATGACAGAGCAGAAAGTTGTCTTAATCTTTTTGTTTCTAAATGATGAAGCCTCAGGGTACATATATTAAGTTTCGTTAGTAATTTTATTATAAGGAATTGTATGGAGCTCTCCGAGATACTTACAGAGCAAGACCCGTGTGTCTTCTCACGTGCTGAACTCATCTGCAAAAAAACATTATATATCAGTTTCTTTATTCACTTTCATTTTTTAAGAAATCAGATATAGCAAGGGAAACAACATTTTTTTCCAGAATAAACTTCAGCTCTCATTTTGAGACAGGTGGAAGTAAAACGTCTCAGCGTTTTTTTTAAGTCCTTCACGGGAAATTTATGAACAAAATTTTTTTTTAGGGGGGACTGCCTTGTAGACGGCTCCTATGGGATTAGCGTCTGAAGTCTATCTACAATGGATTTTCTTTCCAAATTCTAAAAATTACTGTGAGAAGTTTTACAGTTAGGTCACCACTACTGGAGAGGTACAATGTTTTCTGCTTAACAGTGTCAATTTTTCAACTGTCATTTGCACAACGACAGGAGGTTGATAAATCAACAAAGAGATAAAAGCTGAGAATTCAGAAAGAAGAAAGAAAGGAGAATAACAATCCGTCTTCTCGCAGAGTCCTCAATTTGTGTTTTTTCAAAATATAGTTTAGATAAGTTGTCCAGTACGCATGCGTTTATTTTGATCATTCCGCAGAATCCATATCTTTGATCTAATTCAACAGGCTTGAAATAAACCTTAATTTACATGGCTGCGAAAGATGTTCACCTTAAAAATCTACTTAAGTTGAATTGGGCTTCTAGCTAACATGAGTTATCTATACTGAGCTCATTAATAATAATACACCGGTTTCTCAAATTACGTCCTCGTAATACAGGTAGATGAGAACTTCAAAGGTTTTATCTCTCTCCCCGTCCTTATTTTTGTCCAGAGGCCGTCGTGAGGGCAAAATCTTCGAGTCCTATTAGGGAACTCTAATAAAGTTATTCTTTTCGGAGTATGCTTGTGGTACTAACTGAACTAAATTAATGTTTATAAACGAACTTTGGTACTCACCCATCAAGGTTATTGATACTAGAACTGTTCCCCATATCTGACATACTTTCGTCAACATCTCTCTTTCCGTGTGGTTAAAGTTTCTGTCACCGTTACGTTCAACAAATTCTGTTTTTTTTTCCCAATTTTTATAAGGTGAGCATTAGTATAAAGCTCCCTCTCACACTATCAGTTCAATAGGAATTTATTTTTTAACATCTTCTCTTTAGATCAGTCTCCCGCTAAAAGGAAAAGCTTTCCGCATGTGTTGTTTTGAGTCCAAATCAGCCTTCTTTTGCTAACTCATTATGCATGAAACTAAATGTAATGCAAATTTTTGAAATCTAGTCTCCGGTTAAATTCAATTTTAAGAATCCTTTGCACCTGTTTAATACAAAAGTGAAAAAATAACCAATTAATATCGAAAGATACTGACTCTTTTCTTCACTAAGCTTTCAAAATAATAAAATGGAATAGAAATTTATCGTAAAGTCTAGCTCGAGATAGTAACTTTTTGGTATCAAATACAACAGGAACTGCAAATGTAACTCTTGCAGTCAACTATTCACTGTGAGTCTGTTTACTTAGCTATTTAAGCAAAAATTTCGGTTTTTTTAGAGCATTAACATAACACCAGTTGACACGGAAAAAATATGGTTCTACTTAAATCAAATTTCTAATTTTCAAAGGATCCTCACGGCTCAAATAACTGTGCTGGCTTACCTTTCTCTGCCATTTTGACCCTGGTCTTCTCTAAAAGTATTTCGATATTATTTCCATCATTTTCTCTGGATGCTTCACTCTGGAATTCCAAGGTATGCCGAGCAGAACCCTTGAGCAATGCCACTACGACCTTTAACACAAAATGGGTTAGTCATCAAAACTATCTCAAGGTCATTTCACTCTAAAACCCACCCATTCGTTTTTGCAATATTTTACTAGCTAGTTTCGCCATGTAATGCAAAATGAAAATGACGGTTTTCAAGCAATAACCTCAGCCCGTCGGCGTCGGTATTTGTCTTCAGATTAGCCTCCCGGAAAGTAGTAAATAGACCAGCGGAAAAGAGCAGACTCTAAGAGTTTCACCTTTTTATATGGAAGAAAAAAAATTGTTTTATAGTACCCAGCCATAGTAATCTGAAAAAGCCGGTTTCAAATGCTGTTTAGGACCATAAACAAGGTCACAAAACTGTTTTATTGATGCGCAATATAAAAAATAATAGGATGTATCTTCATGTCCACATTTGCCCTCTAAGCTTGCTTTTTGGCCAATTGTTCCTTTTTCGGACGATCTCTTAGCAGCGGAAATCATCATCTAACATGCCAGGCGCCTGAAGTTGTTAATTTACTGCGCTGACTATATTGACTGAGTATTAAAACAAAACAAAAAAAGAGAAGATAACGGAACAAAACAAAACAAACAAAGCAAAAAAAGCAAAAAAACGGAAAAAAATTGCAGTCACAGAGAGGGTCTGATTGGACTGCTAGGCATCTTATGATTTAAATCCTTGCTCTCGATTTATCGGAAGAAGAAAACGTGATATTTGTCAATTTTCGTCTACATTTCTATTTCACAGCGCTGTAAATCGGACTTGTTTCAATGAATTTCAAATAAGTTCAATTTCTTCCTTTGAATCCAAAGTGATCGAAGGATTGTGACCGGAAAGGGTACTACGTTTGAGCGATGCCGCGGGAACTGATCATTCACAGAACTGCCCCTTTTTTCGTTTTTTTGTAATTATTTCATCTGTTTATTTGTCCTTTCATTTATTCATGATAAAATTTAACAGTCAGCTGTAACTACTATTATTACAAATGCAAATAGTATTTGGTATTTTACAGGGAGTTTAACTCCTCAAAAATTAGAAAAAGGTGACACCATCATGCATTATAACATAACCAGAGTAAAGCGCGCGCTCTGATTGGTCAATTTAGCGTCCTCCATTTGCCCATGGGTGTACGCTGCTGACGTGAGCAAATGCAAAGACTATTTTTCCACGAGCACTTGTTTTTTCTGGTCACGTAAGATTTGTTAAATAAAAGGGAACTCTTTAGCTACAATGTATCAATGTTATGTTATAAAACAAATGGTAAACACAACAGCGTACACTATTGAGTTATGGATGCACTTGGGAGGTTTGCTAAGCACTCAAGAAGCTAGAGTCGCTCTCGGCTATCGCCTCGAGCGACTCTTGCGCTTCTTTCGTGCTTAGCAACCTCCCGTGTGCATCCATAACTCAATAGTGTACGCTGTGGTGTCTACCATTTGTTAAATATAAGCAAAAAAATTGCATAATAGAATTCAAAGACGAGACAATAAAATGCGTATCATAATCAAAGTTAAACAGAGCACTGTTTGAAGACATAATGAGCCTCGATATGATGCATCATACAAATTACCCCCACATTCCAACTAAATAGTTTGGGGCAATCATAAGATGAACGGATACACAAATATGTGAAGAAAAGACTGTGAAGAATTTTAACCTTGATCGACAGCCAGCCTCAAATACTTTTCTTTTGAAAAATTTACATTTCTAGCACTTGGCTTAAAAAAAAAACCGTTAAAGGCTGTCGACTTTGGCAAGTCGCCTTATCACCGAATTAGAATCCTTGATCCAGATATCAGTAGTGGCTAACATCGTATAAACGATTTATTTACCCAGCTAAAGGTGTAATCGCAACTACCGACATTTTATTTACAGATCGAAAATAAACAGTCGCTATAGATTAACTACCGTGCTCAGAATGATCGTATCGAACAATGAGACAGTTGACTTTTGTACTCGGTCTGTTGAATCTATTCCTTCAAGTTGAGGGTTTTTCATTGAGGTCAAATTCATTGCAAGACTGCAATTCAGCTACCCACATATCACCAACATCGCGTGGATTAATCTGTGAGCTCTTCTTTGTGGAGTTTCCACTGTTTGTAGATGGAAAAATGGTGTTCACCTTTCTTTTGAATCGCTCTCGAATCTGCAGATAGACATGTAAAGTAAGAAAAAAAATTCCAATGCATATTTAAGTTTGAAAACCACATTCTCTACACTATATGTATGATTTTTCAAATTAACTTACCTGGCTGTTTCGCAAACAGTGAAGAACGAAAATCAGGAAACCCTTAAAAAAAAAAAGTTGTTTTTCAGATAAATTGTGATTTGTGATATGACTAGAGATAACTGCATTAAAGGTTTATTATTTTTTTTCATAGGTCTCAAAAAAAAAAAAAAACACAGAGAAATCAAATTACTTCTGGAGTCGTGAGAATCTCATAAACAGGGGAATCGCTATTTTTTTTTAACTTTAATTTAATTCTGTTCTGTCTGGTTTAAAATTACAAGTTTCATATTATCACAATAAAATGTTTGGTTATAGCTAGGCGATAGAACGCATTTCCCGGACCCTACTAAACGTGAAAAAGCCATACGGGATATTGTTACAACGCGAGGAAAGCTCATAAATCCCATGCCAAACGCTATAACTTGATTAAGGATCCGCTTGGAAACGGAATTGACCAATCAGAAGATGCTTTCTATGTTTACTATAGTATAAAGTGATCTAGACACTGATAAGTTAATGTATAAAATTATGAGATGATAATATTTGATACTCACCTGTGTAGAGTTGAGGATGTTAAAAATGTAGGAAAAAGCTATGTGTAATGGCGACAAAAGACCAAATAGCCACGTGACACCCAGAAGGGGAATCATCACCACGCATGCTCTAATGCCAATTCTGAGGGGCGTAAACATGCGGGTTAATAGAATGCATATCACCCTTAGAAACATTTGTGCTAACCTGATCAATTTCAACAAAACCTTGAGGCAGCTAGACGTAAACTATTAAAATTACATCAAAACAGTTCTGTTCAATATAAAAGCTCCATCTCACCGTATTTGTTGACTTTGCTTGTCTCCTGTTGGCTGCATACTGGTCATCTCCTTAATGACTCGTACGAGTATAACCAAGTTGATCTTGAAGCGAGGAAATTATTGAAAATCTTTGCATTAGGGTATGGGTGTTGCACATTTCAAGTCAAATACTAAAATCACCGACGATGATATGAGGAGAAAAATGAATAACCCGTATCAGAAACTTACCACTTCAATTGTAATCACGAATGTGACAAATATCCAAATCAGATTGTTCTCTGACGACATCCAACAACTAAAATGAAGAAAGGAAAATTGAAATAAAACTAAAGTAAAAATAAAAATGTGAACATACGAACTGCAGCTCTTAAGAACTTACAAAATGATACTGCATTTTTATGATTATGTGATGATAAGAATAGGGTAACGATCGGAAGGGAAGATTATGGAGAAAAAAGGGAATGTGACAAAAAGTAAATATATGGACTAAATAATAATTTGATTAAAAGTGTTTGGAAGATTGGTCATTTTAATTTCTCTTTCTCTTCTCTGCCCAGCCTTGGTCAGAGTATCTGGAAAAATTGACAATATTGACATCCTTATGAGAAGGAGTTTAAGAAAAGTTAGTAAGGATACCAAAGCAAATTATAAAAAAGGCCAAAACTTCAGCAAACAAAATTAACAATGTAAAAGAAGAATTAGAAGATAAAAAGAGAAAGAAAGCTGCGCCTCTTACAGTTTGTCACTGGTATAGCTTTTTATCCCTTCTTTCCCAGCAGCGATACACAATGAAATGGTACCACCATAACTAGGGGCAAACCTATTGCACAATTTTACAGAAAAAAAATGACTTAAAATGATTCATATATTTAAAGACACAATTTACAACAGTGAATGTATCAGGTAAGTTTAGCTGTAAAAACAAAGTACCCCATGACATGACGTGATACAAGTGCATCTTGGTGTTGATGTTATAAACTTTTACAACAAACAGGTAGAGATAAATTCCCTCGACCAGCATCCAACAGAAAGCAGCCATCAGGAAATACTGCATAAGAGCTGCTACTGTGACACACACAGCCTACACAAAGTGGAAACGAAAACAGCAACATATGTCGTTATTTATTTTGTTTTGTTCGATTATAATATCTTTGAATATATTCTACAAAACAGAAAAGCCGCCCACCTTGTTTTCCGTCGAAAAAAATGTCGTTGCAGTATCCTATTTAACATGGAAGAAGGAATATCGATACCATGTGCCTGCTCAGAACGCTGCCTTCTTAAATATTTGATAAATTGTATCGTGAGAGAAAAATGGTCGTTTCGCCAAAAGAAACTCGAAAACTATTTAAGTTTCAGATCTCCTGAGATTTCGAAGAGTAACCTGTCTACAACAGATTCTTATAATGCTCTTAAACGCGTTCGCGTTTACTTTAAGATGGTCACTTTCGAGATAATGCACTTGCTATATACTTAAATGATTGATGAATAAAAATGAATTGTGATAGATACCTTTAGGGAACTTTCTCTGCTAATTTCTATTTCATCAAGTTTACAAACATATACATTTGCCTAGGGAAAAAAAGACAACATTTTTAACTAACGCCATAGATTGTTGAAATAATGAGAGCAAGGGCTAGGAGAAATTACAATACATACCAGACTCTCAGTTGTTACTGGCGGCGATGATCGGCTTGTCCAAGTTAAAGATGACAATGACGATGATGATAAAGAAGACGAGGGCGAAGACGAAGATGATGACATGCATACTGATGATGATGGTGATGATAATGATGAAGATGATGATAAGGCTGGCAACGACGATGAAAACGAAGATAACGATGACGACACTGACAATGACGACGATGACAAAGATAACAGTGGTGACACTGACAATGACGATGATGACGAAGGTGACGATGATGACGACGTTGTTAATAGTATTGAGGATATTGACGACAATGACGATGATGATAATGACGATGACGATGACGACGATGTCGAGAATGTCCAAGGAAACAAGTGAGATGATGATAACAGCGTTGGTGGTGGATGTTGTGGTGACAATGGTGATGATGATGATGATGATAATGAGCACGACAACGACGATGATAGTAACGATAATGAGAAAGTGGATGACGATGATGACAATGGTGATGGTAAGAGAAATGAGAATGTTGTCGGCGACCCGTGCGATGATTGCAAGTGAGCTGTATGTTAAAGCAAAATCTCACTATCAAAATGCGATCTCAACTAATATCGGAACGCTCCCATGGAATAGAAGAAATTTGGAAATTGACTTTCAAGATATCTTTTTTTTCTTAGAGGGGGAGACCAAGGTGATACCAAGATATTAGGCCGATCGTGGG